AGGTCCAGCAGGGCACCTTCCCTTGTGGGCTCCTTCACCAGCTGCGTCAGGAAGTTATCTTCCACACACTCCAGGAACCTCCAGGACTGTTCCCTCTCTGCTGTGTTATATTTCCAGCAGATATCCGGGAAGTTGAAGTCCCCTACAAGTGCAAGGAGAAGCAATCACAAAGCTTCTCCCACCTGCCTATGGTTTATCAACTTAGCTGTGGAACTCTACCAGTGCAAAATCTGTCATTGAAACCAGTTGAGCTGAGAAGATCCCAGCTGTTAAGTGAAGCAATTGTTCTCTGTGCTCCTGGAGTACTCATGGGGGAATCTCATGAATGAGGTGCTTTGCCATATGTACACTATATATGTATATCAGATAGGTATATAGGCATTGAAAGTGTCCCAGTGTTCTCTACAAGAGTTGACGGCACCCGACTGATGCCTGTTTGTCAGAATATTTACCATTTTTGTTCCAGCTAGCACTTTATTGGTATTGTTTTAGGGTTCACAGAATCACAGAATCACAGAACGTTAGGGATTGGAAGGGACCTCAAAAGATCATCTAGTCCAATCCCCCTGCCGGAGCAGGAACACCTAGATGAGGTTACACAGGAAGGCGTCCAGGCGGGTTTTGAATGTCTCCAGAGAAGGAGACTCCACAACCTCTCTGGGCAGCCTGTTGCAGTGCTCGGTTACTACCCTCACTGAGAAGTTTCTTCTCAAATTTAAGTGGAACCTCCTGTGTTCCAGCTTGTGTCCATTACCCCTTGTCTTATCATTGTATGTCACCGAGAAGAGCCTGGCTCCATCCTCGTGACACTCACCCTTTAAATATTTATAAACACGAATGAGGTCTCCCCTCAGTCTCCTCTTCTGCAAACTAAAGAGACCCAGCTCCCTCAGCCGCTCCTCATAAGGGAGATGCTCCACGCCCTTAATCATCATTGTAGCCCTACGCTGGACTCTCTCCAGCAGTTCCCTGTCCTTCTTGAACTGAGGGGCTCAGAACTGGACGCAATATTCCAGATGCGGTCTCACCAGGGCAGAGTAGAGGGGAAGGAGAACCTCTCTCGACCTACTCACCACCCCCTCCTGATGCCTCCAGGATGCCTTTGGCCTTCTTGGCCACAAGGGCACATTGCTGGCTCATGGTCATCCTGCTGTCACCAGGACCCCCAGGTCCCTTTCCCCTACGCTGCTCTCTAATAGGTCATTCCCCAATTTATACTGGAACCTGAGGTTGTTCCTGCCCAGATGCAGGACTCTGCACTTTCCCTTGTTTTATTTCATTAAATTATTCCCTGCCCAACTCTCCAGCCTGTCCAGATCTCGCTGGATGGCAGCACAGCCCTCTGGCATGTCAGCCACTCCTCCCAGCTTGGTGTCATTAGCAAACTTGCTGATAGTACACTCAATTCCCTCATCCAAGTCATTGATGAATAGATTGAAGAATACTGGCCCCAGTACTGACCCTTGGGGCACTCCACTCGTTACAGGCCTCCAACTGGACTCCACCCCGTTGCCCACGACTCTCTGGCTTCTTTCCTTCAGCCAGTTCATAGTCCACCTCACTACCCATTCGTCCAGTCCACACTTCCTCAGTTGAGCTGTGAGGATGCTGTGAGAGACTGTGTCAAAGGCTTTACTGAAGTCATGGTTGATTTGAGTTTGTGCATAGGATCACGTTCATGCTATAAAAGAGGATAATGAGAATTTGAAGTTGTCTTCTGTACTGATATCTTTGTGTCTTTTTCTTTCTGTACAGCATTTTGTTTGCAGACATTGTGGGGTTCACTAGTTTGGCATCACAGTGTACTGCCCAAGAGCTGGTGAAGCTGTTGAATGAGCTGTTTGGCAAATTTGATGAATTAGCTACAGTAAGTATGACATCATTATTTCAATTTATTTAAATTCCATTCTGAAAAATGATGCATGAGTTACATATTAAAAATCTGTAATAGACTGATTTAGCCCTGTGTGTCATAAGTTTCTAAAGTTTCCATTTTTTATTAATATTCTGGAGAGAAAACAGTCTATTTTGATTGTTTAGGAAAGAAGCTTAAGTTGCTATTTTTAAATAAGTTTTTCTTCCCTCTCTTTGCAGGCCATCAGTATTCTTCATTGGTTTTGTTTGCACAAAATAGTGAAAATATTTCAATATTTAGATTTCTGTTATTCATGTAAAAAACCAGGATAATGGAAAATATTATTTTTGACAGTGTGGCATAAATCTACTTTCTGTGATAATAAGAAGCTAGAGAGTAAAATTATTTCTTAACAGAGAGCACTCCTTGTCACAGAAATGACGGTAGCTTTTGAGAGAGGCTATTGCAGGCAAAATGGGATCCATATCATAACCGAGGCTTATGTTTTGGTCATTACCCTTACATTATGCCAGATTCCCCAAGAAGATAAAAAATGAAAAAAATGTTCCTTGCCTATAACTCCTAGTTAAACTACTAGGCACCGCAAGCATTTGACAAGAAATGAAGGGAATGGATGTGCCTGAAAAAGCCACACATCTTGTTTCAAATTACGTTTAACAGTTTGCTGAAAAATGTGTTTTTCCCTTGAACAAAGCACAACTTCATCAAATCTGCCTTGTTTGCCAGCTGTGTCCTCAGAGCCTTCATTGCTGAGAAGTATCAGTAGAGAAGCAATAAAGGTGCTGAGTTTTGATACAAATTTGTAAAACACTCATAAGCCTTTGTGTAACTGTTTAATCACTGGAACTACTGGCAGTGCCTTGTGAAGAGTACAAGTCCCCAGCCCAAAGTACTTTAGAGATGTAGACCTTAGAAATAAAAGAGCGCCATGTAGATGATTCTTGATTAGAGTTTAAATGGCTTTACAAGTTCAAATAGTCTCCTTGCTTTCATTTCATTACTGAATTTCGTCCTCCAAATGTCAACCACCCATCTAATAAGTTCTTTTAAAACTTTTAGTGCTACAATCTGCAGAATCATCATGGACATGAAACACAAGGCAATGTAATAACAGAGGAGTACTGTGACATAACACAGGGTAGCACATGTGCACACAGAAACTGATGTGACTATGACATGTGACATGACTCTGAAGCCAGGGAGATGGCTACTGCACCATGCTTGCTCCCTTAGCAGTGGCCAGGTGCAGCCAACTAGAGGTGTCAGTGGCACCTGAAGCCAGACTACCAGGCAGATGCCAGCTTTGGGGAGAGGTCAGTTGTTTGTCAGGAAAGCAGTAGATTGGACATAGCAGAAGAGTTAAAAAGCCTTCGCTTTTCTGTTCAGCCTGCGTGCATTCTTTTTCCAAATTTGAAAATAAATATCATGGTTTCTTTCAGAAATGTGAGGAAGATTTGTTATTTACTTGTCTTTCTAGTTCAAACTGTGCTGCATCGAGGTGTGACTAAGGATAGAATGTATGAGCTTTCTGTGATGCCTTCTGATGTGGTAAAGGGAGACTTGTTGCTGTGTCTGCTACAGTCAGAAGAAATGTACTGAGAAGTGTAATTTTTCAGAAGGACTCTGATCTTTTGGTTAAAACAACTTTAGATATTCACTGGCATGTCAAAACAGAGGACTGGGATGATTTTAAAACAGTGCTACGCTTTAGTATTCAGAATGATGGAGGGGGAAACTGCAGGGACTTTAAAGAAAAATGTAATGGTGATAGGTATGTTCCCTGTGACTACTGATGTGTGATCTGTGAATGTGCACGCTGCGTGCTGCTGCTTCTTAGGAAGCAGTGTCAACCGGAAAAGGCAGTTTATGACAACCCCTGTTAAAACCATTTTAACAGTCCTGTTTTAAAGCTGTAATGCTTAGAAAAAAAGTATAAAATCCCTGTCAATACTGTGGGAAGTGTAGTAAGTATAAGGCAGCATATATTTGCTCATGAAGAGTCTTGATGTTTTGGCATATTGACACATGTAGGAATAATGAATCTTTGCTTTTTGACAGTATAGCTCTGAAGCTGACCAGAACCAGGTGCTTCAGCCAAACATAAAAAATTCTTGTTGAAAGATCTGTGTTAATTTAATCATAAAGTTTGTCCTTCTGACATTTAGAAGCTGGTTTATGCTTTTTAGCATTTTGTTTTTCTCTTTCTATGTGGTCTTCGTTCGATTTTTTTGGTAAGGCAAATAGTTTTGTTCTTTTTGAAATGTTACACTTTTTTTAAGATCACAATAGCTTCATGACAGGGAGTTCTGAAGGCAAACCTTAGGTTTCAATTTATTGTCATTGAACTCCTTTGAATGTTTGCTTGTGCATTCTGTTAATAGAGAGGGAAGAAAATTGCTTATCTTCTTCCTACTAGAAATTATTTGTACTTTTATCATGTCCTTCCTTTTTAATTCACCTCTAGAGAAAATACATTTTTCAAACACTTACCTTGTACCAGTTATTTTACCTTGTAAATCACTGAGTCTTTGAACAGTGTTAGGAGAAGAGGTGATCAGAATATAGTACTTGGAGTGATGACGTGTTTTCTATTTTCACAGTAGCACTGTTTGGTTTCTTAAACAATCTCAGGTAGTCATATTTCATATGGTCTTTGTGATCCCCTTAATAACTTTTGAGTCTGTGGAACAACTACAGTGACTTTGAAGAAAGCAAAGCGAGTCTCAAAAATGTAAATCTAAACAAAAATGAGTGACAGTAAATAAAAATTAGTGACATCATTTGTATCCTTGTGGGAGTGTAACTTCATCCTAGATAGACATCAGAGAATCCACATGGAGAGTTTCTCAGTTTCTTCCAGTTTTGGTTAAACAGAGTAGCTTTGTGCAGTCTCAGATTTTGCCCTAATGATAGTCATTTGGCGTTGCATATTATCAATGGATGCTTTAAACAACTGATTTTTGCAGGAGGTCATAGCCTTGCAATTAACCTTCAATGCTACAGCTAGCTTCCAGTTTGAAACTCTTCAGCTTACTTGTGAGAGTGACAGATTTTAATGAGATATGATCATTTAAATCATGTTGGTTTTATGTTTCCAAGGAAGCCTTGGACACATGACACGTGGTCTGGGTGCTTTTTTTTTCTTGCTTTAATACACTGTATATTTCAGTGCATTTTCTCTTCATACTTTAGCCGTGGCATGGATTTACTTTAATGAGAGAGGTTCTCAAGGCTACATTTACCCAAATAGCATCATATGGAGTTGCACATGCCCCTGCTCGTGTACTGTTATGGTCACAGCTCCACTATCTTGTGATAGAGTACAGCTATACCCTAATTATTTTATCTGTCGTCTTAATAGAAAAGAAGAGCCATTTCTCCAACATTCTGCATTGTAATGAAACAGTTTTGCTTCTTAGAGATGTTTTGAACTTCTTCAGTTGTTCTTTACTTTGGTAGATATTTTGCACATACTTCTAATTACTAGAATTAATTATTTGTATTTACAGATTAAGTTCTTTCCCTTTCACTTCCATGTTACAGCATCTTGGACTTCAGATAAGGATAAGTGGATAAGGACAAATGAGTTTTAGGCTCTTTTCAAAGGACATCACTAGGAAAGGATTTTAATATTCTGAATGAAAGATATTACTTGTTCGTGTCCCTTTTGGAATCTCGTCAATTAGCCAGATTGACACACACCACTTGCTTGTTCTTTTCATTTGCAGTTATGTATACCTTCAGGCTTTTGTCAGTATTTGTAGGCTGAGTCTATTTTTTTTTTTTTTTACATTTTAATTTAGTATCCTTTCCTGATTACCTTCTTAGCTTTTTAACAATTATTACTTTCCAAATTTCAATGTTACTGAAGTGGTTTTTTTTATACCTGTTCAGCTTAAAAGATACTGAACTTAACAACATTGCTGCTAAGCCTTAGGCAAAGGGTCAGTAAATAATATTTTTAATCAACTTCTGTGTTGTTTTTTTCAACTATGTCAAGAACAGTCAGCCCTTTGCTGTACTTTGAACTAGCTATTTCTAGAAGCAATCACTTTAAGAAATGGATTCTATTGAATCTATAAAATGCTTTTAGTTTATATGAAGATAATTATTATGTATTTTTAAAATATAAAATAAAGTTTTGTGGGCTGGTTAAAATGGGAAAGCTAGTGCTGGAAAACATAGATATGATCTTACAGCATATAACCCTTCTTTGTGGAAATTGATAAATGTGCACTAGGGGGGGATATTTACAAAGGCTAATTTTAAGGAGATTTGTCTCCCCAGGTTTCCTTGATAGTGCAGACACAGGATCCCACCCAGGCAGATCATTCATGCAAGCTTGAGTCTGGTTCTGAACAGCCATCTGGAGAGGTCTCCTAGAGAGACCTAAATAAGTAATCTTTCTTAAATTAAAGCCGTCTTAAAAAATATGTCTGAGACTCTATAGGATCAGGGACCATGATGGCATGAAAATAAAGTGTCTGTAGGACAGTTTCCAGGGACGAAGATAATGCCACACACTTTAAGTGTTATGGGAACATATAAATGTGCAGGTGCCACAGAGGTCTGGTCTTGCCTAACCTCCTTCATGGTACTTTTTAGGTAAGAGGATACTGTGCTTGGTATGTTCATTCTCTGTCATAACTCTTGTCATGAATTGCATGCTTGTGGTACATTACCAAATTCTTCCTCAATTTGTATTCTGCAAATGTGAGATTTACATCTTTGTATAATACTGTGTATGATAATTCTGATCAGCTTCAGATGCTTGCAGTGTAGGCATTTGTACTGAAACTAATTGTTTTGACTCCTTGTGCATTTAGCATAGAGAAAGGAATTTCTGGAGTTCAGCGTCTGTCTAATGGCACTCCAGAAATGTCTGTTTCACTTCATTGTTGTAGAGGCAGTTTGACTGATAAGCCAGGTCTGTATTTTAGCTTTCTAATGTACTCTACCTATGCAGTCCTATTTGAAGTCTTTTACCCATG